CGCGAGACTCTACGCTGCGTGTGTGGAACGTCGAGACGGGCACGCTGGTGCATCTGCTCGCTGGCCACCAGCATTCGGTGCGATGCATCGAGGTGGCGGGCAATCAGGTGGCGTCCGGCAGCTACGACGGCACGTGCCGCATTTGGAACCTCGACACGGGCGTCTGCCAGCATGTGCTGCGCGGCCACATCCACTACATCTACGCGGTCGCCTTTGACGGCAAGCGCGTCGCCACCGGTTCGCTCGACTCGACGGTGCGCGTGTGGTCGGCGAGCACGGGCGACTGCCTCGCGCTCTTCCAGGGCCACACGTCGCTGGTGGGACAGCTGCAGCTGCTCGACAATACGCTCGTCACCGGCGGCTCGGACGGCCGCGTGATCGTATTTAGCCTCAACACGTACGAGTGCCTGCATCGGCTGTGCGCGCACGACAATTCGGTGACGTGCCTGCAGTTTGACGAGCGCTACATCATCACGGGCGGCAACGACGGCCGCGTCAAGCTGTGGGACTTCAGCACGGGCAAGTTCATCCGCGAGATCTGCGAGCCGTGCGAGCAGGTGTGGAAGGTGAGCTACCGCGACGACAAGGTGGTGGTGCTCTGCAAGCGCGGCGACAAGACGTGCATGGATGTCATCACCTTCCGCCCGGCCGCCGACGAGATGTGAAGCGCCGGCGCCGCAAGTATTCGGTTTGTTCTCGTTGGTCTCTGCTGTCTCTTCTCGGGACGCGTTTTGCATTTGTATCGTCGTCGCTTTGCATGTCTCCTCAGCATTCGTTCAACCTCGCAAGTCTTTTCTTTTTCCACATTCTCAGTTTGAGTGCTGCGCGAGATGGCGATGGCGTGGGCTTGCACTGGGTCAGTGATGCAGCGTGGAACAGAAAGAAAGGGGGCCAGCGAGAAGTGAAATGACGACGATGCGAATCGAACTCGTGGGAAAGGGGGGGGTGGCTCGTTTAGCCCTCGTACTCGTCGAGTTGGTTGCCCTTCATGGCGTAGGCCTCTTTATCCTCGTCGTCATCGTCCTGGTTCTGGTCTTGGTCTTGCTGGTCGCCGTCCTTCTTTGCGTGTTTTGATGCGTCTCTGTGGAACTCTCCGACCTTGACGATGGCCTTTGCGGGGATGACGCCCTTTGGATTGAGATACTCAAAGTCTGGGCCCTGGAAGACGTCGAGATAGTTGAGCCACTTTGCAAACTCGGCCGTGTCCGCCTCGGTAGCGGTGATGCGATCATAGATCCAGGCCTGTTTGAACTTTGTCATCTGGTCCTCGTGGTCTTTGTAGCCTACACCCTCCCTGAGTTCATCCTGAAGACCGGGGTTGTCGGACTTTTTCATGAGCCGGGTGAGTTTATCGTTGTTGTTTCCAATCCTCCTGTTGTACGCCTCGAAGATGGGTTGTTCGAGCAACAGTCCCAACCCTGGCGCCTTGGGGATGTGCACTCGTGCGGGTCCGAAACACTCATCCACCAGCCCCATCCCCGCCCCACTTCGTCCAACCAACACCAGCAGGCCTACCATCTTGCGAATCTGATGCAGCATGAAGCTCTGACCATGCAGCTTGATGCTCACCCACTCGCAGTCGCCGATCACCTTGGTCGGCGAGATGGTGAGCGTCTTCATGAATCGCTGGCACGACCGATCGCGAAACTCCTTGCCCACGGTAAAGTTGTGGAAGTTGTGCGAGCCGCTAAACTTGGCGAAAATCGTCCGGATCCTCTCCAACTCGGTGTCTGAGAGGCGGTACTTTTTCTTGGCGGCTACATCGGTCGCAAAGTCATGCTCGGTTCCGTGAGCGCTCCAGAACGGATGCGCAATCACCTCGTCGAGCGACGTCGAGTCTGCATCTGGGTTGGATTCCTTGAGTTTGGCGAGTTCTTCGTCGCGCAGACGCTTGAGCATCTCGTGCATGGTCGACCCGGGCTTGGGCGGGATGAAGACGTACGTGGGCAGCAGATACTCGTACATGCGCGAGTCGCAGCTCTGCCTTGCATTGAACCCGTTCTGCACACGCGTCACGCCCCAGATCCGGATGAACTCGGGCAGCAGCGAGTTGACCTTGTCCACCAGCGTCTCGCCCTCTTGCAGGCCGTCGGGTTGCAAGATGAGTTTGAGCGAGAGCAGGTTTCCGGCCGCATGAACACCGCGATCCGTGCGCGCGGCGCGTTGCAGGCCCACCTTGTTCGGGTTGACCGCGTTGTCCTTGGAGACGGCACCAGCGGTGCAGAAGGCATCAAAGATATCGCCCTCGATCGTCTTGACACCCGGGTTGATCTGAAGGCCAGAGTAGCCGATACCGCAGTAGCCGAACTTGACGGCGACCTTGCGCTTGGGAAGTCGGTCGCCCGACGATCCGGACGGCTCGGAGGCTGCCTCGCGCTCATCGCTGCGGCCGGTGCCGCGACGGTCACGACGCTCCCACTTCTTCTTGCCTCCACGGGTGGCGCTGTCGTCGAACCGCGCCTTCTTGACGCTGTCTTCAGCGGACGCTTCCGTGGTGGCATCCGTGGCAGCGGAACTGTCTTCAAGGGGACGCTTGGTCGACTGAGCCGCATCTGCCTCCGGCGCAGCAGTCGCGGCGGACGTGGCAGCGGAGACTTCCTGTTCGAGCCTCTGAGTCATGCTGGCAAGCTTTTTGACTTTCTCTTCGATCGTATCCGAGTCGAGGATGGTGCGCTGGACGGGGATGCGCTGGCCTTTGGCGATTCCGAGCGCGACGAACCACTGGTGCGGACTGGGGACGGAGAGGCACGCCGAGGTGTGCAGGTTGCCACGTAGAAGGAAAGGTGCGGCAGCTCGGCACAGACACGTGCGAAACTGGTTGATGTTGGCGAGCGAATCACAGCTGGACGGGCGAGGCGATCCAGCACACACACACACAGCAGCAGCAGTCCCGGGTCGTAGATGATGGAGGCCTGGGCGGAGGATTGCAGTTCTTGCAGGAAAATAGCAAGTCGGCGAGACTTCTTTTTTGGACGAGGCGATTTCTTCCCACAGGCAGGTGGGCTGAATCGGCGATGAGCTGAGCGAGTAGATCGCGATTGGCGATGGCGAGAAGAAAGAAGCGCGGCGAAAATTTGTTGAGCGTACAAAGGCGGAAGCGACTGCCAATTCCAAGGCACAGTGCAGCGAGAGAGAGTTGGCCGGAGCAGCTGCCGAGTTGGGGGTGAAAATGAGCGGTTGCGGAAGCGCAGTCGAAAGTGTCAGTTGCCGCAACCGCACCGCATCCTTCTGCTTTCACAGCCGGCCATCACACGACCGGACCGTATCGTCCCTTCCTCCTCCTCCTTCACTGCCACCAGCGCATCTCAACATACTCCACCATGGCGTCGTCATCGCGGCCCTCGTCGCCCACTAGCAACGGCCACACCAACGGCACCTCCTCACACTCCAACGGCGCGGATGCCTCGTCGTCCAGCACAGCACATGCAGCAGCAGCGGCAGCACCAGCAGAGCCGTCTGAGCAGGACAAGCAGCAGGCACAGCAGCTCAAGACCGAGGGCAACTCGCACTTTTCGTCCAAGCAGTACTCGAAGGCCATCGACGCCTTCACGCGCGCGTACGAGCTCGATCCCACCGACTCCACCTTTCTCACCAACCGCGCCGCCGCCAAGATGAGCCTCAAGATGTACAAGTCGGCGCTGGCAGACTGCCAGCTCGCCAAGGACGTGCAGGCCAAGCAGTCGGCCGACGGCGTGGCGCAGCCCAAGACGCTTGTGCGCCTCGCGCGCTGCCACCTCTACCTCGGCAACCCCTCGGGCGCCCTCTCGGTGCTCAAGCCCGTCGTCAGCATGGAGGGCATCGACGAGGCTACGCTCAAGCAGGCGAGCCAGCTGCAGAAGCAGGCCAACAGTGTGGCCGACCACCTCGCCTCCTACCACAGCCTCTCGGCGCAGAACGATTGGTCGGTTGCCGGCTTTGCGCTCGACCAGGCGCAGCAGTATGCCGGGTTGGCAGAGGCCGATGTGCCGCTGGCATGGCGCATCATGCGCGCCACGGTGCATCTGCACAAGAATCAGCTGGACAACGCCAACAGTGTGATCGCTGATGCGCTGCGCGCCGACTCGAGCGACCCGGAGGCGCTGCTGGTGCGCGCGCGCATCCTGCTCGCCAAGGGCGACACGGCCAAGGCGGTAGCGCACTGCCAGGCGGCGCTGCGTTCGGATCCGGAGCAGTCGGGTGCGCGCGACCTGCTCAAAAAGTGTCGTCGTCTGGAAGCCAAGAAGGAAGAAGGTAATACGGCATTCAAGGCGGGCGACCACGCTGCAGCCGTTGCGCGATTCAGCGAAGCGCTGGAGCTGGCCGACGAAAACGCGGCGCGCGACGGACCGGCACAAGGATTCAAGGCTATCCTCTACTCGAACCGCGCCACGGCCAACTCCAAGGCGGGCGAGCACGATGCGGCTGTGGCCGACTGCGATGCAGCGCTGGAGCTCGACTCGGGGTACGTCAAGGCGCTGCGCACGCGTGCCCGCGCGCTGCTCGCCACCGAAAAGTACGAAGAGGCGGTGCGCGACTTCAAAAAGGCGCTCGAGGAGGCGAGCGTGGGCGGCGGACGCGAGGCGGAGCAGCTGCAGCGCGAGCTGCGCTCTGCCGAGATCGACCTGAAGCGCAGCAAGAAGAAGGACTACTACAAGATCCTCAGCGTGGCCAAGGACGCCTCGGACAGCGAGATCAAGAAGGCGTATCGCAAGGAGTCGCTCAAGCACCATCCGGACAAGGGCGGCGACGAGGAAAAGTTCAAGCTGTGCGCCGAGGCGTACGACGTGCTCTCCGACGAGAACAAGCGCCGACGCTACGACGCGGGTGCCGACGACCTCGAGCACGACGGCATGGGCTTCCCCGGCGGAGGCATGGGTGGCTTTGGTGGACCTGGCGGCGTCGAGATCAACCTCGCCGACCTGTTCGGTGCCGGTGGCGGCATGGGTGGCATGGGCGGAATGGGTGGGATGGGAGGCGGCGGATTCCACGGCATGGGCGGTATGGGTGGCATGGGCGGTGGCGGCTTCCCAGGCGGTAGCAGGAGAGGCGCGCGTCCCCCGCCCGGCTTCCACTTTGGCTGATCGCGCAGCCGCACCGCAACCACTCGCGCGAGACAGCCGAGCAATCAAAGACATCATTCTACACTGCCATGCGTGCTCGAGAGTCAGAGACGTGCGGAGGTGGCAGTGGCGACAGGATCGATCACGCGGCCGCTTCCGCACCTGTATCAGCGAATGCTAGGTGAAACGGGCGCGGCAGATCCGATCTGCAATCTCGATCGGATGGGCCGTCGCACTGTTCGCACCGACGCGCGGTCACACCTGAGTCAAAGCGCCTCTGCCTTCTCATCGCAGCCGGTGGTGCTTAGATAAAGTCCATATGCATTGCTTCACTTGAAGACATGCTCTACCAGCCTATCCAAGCCGGCCCTGGCGCGCGTGGCATGGCTCCTCGTCGTATGCCTGCTGGTATCGTTGAGCGAGTCGTTGAACACCTCGATCGACCACGGACCCTTGTACCCTGCCTTGACGACCCTGTCGACAAATGCGGGGACGGGCATGAATGCGCCCTGGTCGTACTCGCATGGGAAGAGTCTCGACGATCGCGACCAGATCATCCTACTCGGTCGCTCCTCACCCTCCCTTGGGGACGGTAGAAGTGGTGTGGGCAGTTTCTTGGCATCTCCGATCTGCAGCAGAAAGATCTTATCCCCGGGCACCTCGACGATGCCATCCAGGCTCTCGCCGAGGCGGAGCAGTGTTTGTGCGGCTGGCTCTTGGATGCCGGTGGACGAGCAAGGATCGGCGTACTCGCGTGCGAGCGTGTTGAACGCATCCAGGATCAAGCCCACCTCTTTGCGATCCACCGACTTGACCACCTCCCAGGCTTGCGTCCACTTGTCCACGTGCGATCCCCACGCCAGCGCTTCGAATCCCACCCGAACCTCGTGTCCGGTTCGCAGTGTAAATCGCTCCGCCATGTTGGCGATCTGTGTGAAATCCCTCTTGAGTGCCTCGAGATCGCCCGTCGTTGCAGGCGCGGGTGTGTTTTGCGAACAGACGAGCAAAAGCTGCGTATCCAGCGCCTGCATGACCGCAAATCTACTCTCCACCCTCTTCATCGCTTCCGCCCTCTTCTCCTCCTCGACCCACCCCTCTACATCCCTGAGCGGCTGAAGACAGTACACCTTCAACCCGAGCTCGTCGCACCTCGCTTTGACCCACTTGGCCGCCTCCACCTCGCGCTCCGCCTCCTGCTGCGTACACTCGCCGTACGCATTCCACACGCGCTGCTTGCCCACACACGCGTGCTTGGCCAACGGGCTATCCGGCGGCGTCAACAGCTCTCCACCCCTCGACAGCGTCGTAAACAGTTCCGACTGGGCAAACGTCCACAGGTCGTCGGTGAACAGCTCGATGCCATCCATCCCCGCCTGCGCCACCGCCTCCAGCTTGTCCGACAACGTATGCCCCGCCGTGTGGTAGCCCACCGAGTGCGTAAAGATCGAATACGAAGGTTGCGCCAACATTGCGATGATATCTTGGTCGACAGGACGATACCTAGTGCCGCTGAAAGGGAAGGGCAAGGGCAAGGCGTGGGTTTTGTAAGTACAGCCGCCCGCGCTACTTGACTTCGGCACACCATGCCCCGGCTACATCGCATGGTCCGCTTCGGTAAAAAAAGAAACAAAAACCAAAAATCGCCGCCCACGCTCAATTTTCGCCGCCCCTAAGCGCGAGGCTCAACCACGCGGCGCAGGGCAAATCACGGATAAAGGGCGTTCGGCTACTTGCCTCCACCGCCATCGCTACTCCCCGGCGACCTTTGCTGGTCGGCACTTTATTCTTCCACCACGGCCAACCGGCTACCCTTCCGATACCCGCATCCCCATACTGTCGGGCATCCCCGGACCATTCCCCATACACCCCGCGTGCACTCCACAATACCCTCTGTTGGGGCGATTACGTATGTGGGGCTGTGGGGCGTGCGAAGCAACACGCTGCGGGGAGATATGTGGGGGACATGACGACTTCATTTTTACAGATCAGCCTGCATTGTGGGGGGGATCATTACTCGGATTGCAGAGACGTGTGGCGAAGTCTACTTGATGTCCAGCATGGCACGCACGAGATCGCGAGCCTGCTCCTCGATCTCGAGTCCGATCGGGCCCTCGTCGCCTGCCTTGACGGCGAACGGGATCGGGTCAAAGCTCGTCTTGCCCTGCTCGAACGCCTTTGCGGTAGCGGCCCACATGCGTGCCTGTGCGAGTCCCTGTTCGACCATGGCCTCTACACCGCCGACTGGCAGCCAGCCCTGCTTTTCCGCCTCGAGCAGCAACGGCGTCTGACGCGGCTTGTAGCACATGTCCAAAAACGGCCTCTTGGCCGGCAGCGGCAGGGCCACCAACTTCTCCTCCCCTTCCTGCGGCAGATCGGCATGCTCTTCACCGAGCGCAGTGTAGGGTTCGGCAAAGAAGCTGTGTGCGAGCGTGTAGACCATCTTTTCATCCTCGGTCTGCGGGGCGAACGCCGGGATGGCTCCGACCGCACATGCCACATGGCCAATCTCGCCCGACTCGCGCAGCGCAGCTTCGCGCTCGTACGCCTCGACCGAGCGCAGCGGCCGCAGATCCACCGTAGCACCGAAATGGTCGACCACCGCCTGCGTCTCGTCCGCATCGCGGTTCAGCAGATAGATCGGCGAAAGACCCATCTGGCTCACCGCGTACACCGCCGACCTGCACGTGCCGCCCGATCCGATGATGAACGCCGCATACGGCTTGCCCGCCTTGTTGCGCGGGAAGACGTACCTCGCCTTGACGCCGAGCTGCGGGTCGAGATACTTGGTCACCCTGTCCTCTGCATTGCACTCTGCCACTCCGCGCAGCACCGCATGCGCAATGCCCAAGTAATCCGTGTTGGTCCCCACCATCTTTCGGCCCGCTCCGTTGGGGGTCGAAATGATCGTGTTGACCGTCTGCGTCGCCTTGCCCGCCTCGCTCAGCTCGTCGATCACGCCCTTGGGTCCGAGCGTTGCGGTCACCGCAACCTTGAGCGGCATCGTCACGCCCGCACCGGCAAAGAGCGGGTCCTTGCGAACGAGGTCGTACAGGTGCGCCTCGTCGACCGATTTCGTATCCTTGAGCGAGTACGTCGGGTGGAACGTCTGCGCTTCCGAGCCCGGGAAGCCGATGGGCGCAATCGACTGCAGCATCAGGTTCTGGAATGCCGGGCTGGCAGAGTGCGAGATGGGCGAGCCAAAGAGAAAGTACTTGCGCGCCGAGGCGTCGATCTGCTCCTGCGTGGGGTGGGGCGGTGCCGACACGGCAGCATGGCCGTTGGCAGCACCGTTGGGTGCGCCGTTGGGTGTACCGTTGGCAGCACCTGTGAATGAAAGATGGTACGACATGCTAAAAGATCTCCAGTCTAGAGATGGACAGGAAGAAAAAAGATGGATGGTGGAGAGCGAGCAAGAAGAAGACGAGGATCGCAGCCGGAAGAAAGAGCGGGAAGAAAGTAGTGCGGGTGTTGGAGTGGAGGAAGAGACCCGGCCGAGACGCACGCTGCTTCGTCCTCACAGTAACCGACCGGTGCGGTGGGCAGACAATAGCGGCGCTTCGGAAACAAGGCAGGGCGGCACCAGGGTCCAGATGAATCTCAAAATCGAAGGCAGCACAGCGCAGTCCTTTTAGCCGGCCATTTCCGAGCTCCCACGCGGTACATCTTTTTTTTTGGCCGGCGCCCGCATTGTTTGTCGCTGCTCCCCGGTGAGCCAACCTTGACAATGCCAGCATCTGCCAACCTGGCGTTCATTGTGGAGCGACTCGGAGCATGAGCATGTACCCGAGACCACCGAGCATCGGCTACTTGCATTGTGGGCATGTGCGTTGCGGCGCAGAGGCAAGGGAGGATGGGCCTCGGCACCACTTCTCCCACCCCCACATTCGGCAAAAAGACCCGCGAATTCACCGTCCGCTCGGTCCATTTCGGCGGGAGGCGATCTCGTTCATACTCGCCATGCGCCCCTCTGCATGCAGCCGAAACCGTGCCGAATCGCATGAGAGCGCCCGCGACGAACCGCATGGCCTCGAGCGTCTCGTCCCAATAACCGGCGAGGTCTGGGCTTTCGTCTTGGACGAATCACACACACATACACCGAGAGCTCTTTTTGCTGGCCAATCACAGGTGGCCCATAACCGACCGGGATATCGAGGTGGTCCTTGGCGCCTCGAGATCAATTCTCCGCTTCGTCCGTGCCTTGCCTCGTGGCTTGCATAGGGCTCCCTTCGGAAACTTTTCTCGCTCTGTTCATGCGCCAAGGGGTGGAAGAAAGAGCTTCCACTTGCCTCAGAGCAGGTTACCGGCCAGCTTCGACTACTACAGCGTCGGGAACACGCCCGTCTTACACCTTCCGCCGAGAGTATCCGGCCGTGCTCTCCAACTACGCAACGGTGCAGTGCTGCGGCGTTGGGATGACATGGCGTGATCGTATCCCGCTCCGCTTCTTGCAGTGTAGCCGACACGAGCGCACCAACCAGAAGCTGCGCTTTTGGCAATGAGCAAAACGAAACGTTCCTGGATTACGTTTGGTGTTGAGATGGACAGCGGTGGGGCCCCGGCAGCATCGCTTCCCGTTGAGAAGCACGGCGTATGACCTGTGGCGACTCTGTAACGACCTTTGCAATTTCGCCTGTCGTGGCAAAAAAAAA